GAGATTTATTATTTCTTATTTAAAAATGATTGATTTTCATATATCTTACTCTCTCTCTCTCTCTCTCTCTCCCTCTCATTTTTTTCACGTCTTTCTCTTTTTTTTTATTTAAACGGCAGTCGACTGGTTTACGTGACAGAGAGAAGATATCATTTACCTTGACATACTGACACAAATACACAAAGCAGGAACAGATCCGTCTGGTCTGACCCACTTTCTTAGCTTACTACTTACAACTACTCGTTAATTCGTATGCCGCGTCCTATCCATGTAGTACCACTTTTCCTAACCCTTTTTCCCTTTTCTAATTTCACATTATTTATTTAAAGTTCTAAAACAAAACAAAAACTATAGCAATTTTTTATTTCAAAATAAATAAATATTATACGACGAATTAATTTTATTTTATTTTGTTTCTTTCAATTACTTACATGTAGTATTGCATTTGTAGTAATGCAATTCATTTTGTTTATTCCCATACTGTCTCGACAATCGTAAAGAAATAAAAATCAAATATTATTCAAATAAATTTAATCTCCAATGTAATTCTACTATTTTTTTTTTCGTTTCTTGTTTTTGTTTGTTTTTTTGTTTTTTTTTTAAATGATGAAACTTCATGTTACTCGATTTCACAGTTAATGTATCATATTGGGTTTTAATTCAAATGAATATGTCCACATGTTTCAAAAATAATGCCTCATACGTGTCCCCTATGTGTATCAGCACCTACAATATTTCTACTGAAATTAATGAATTTTCCTGACTAATTTCGACGCTGAAATACGATTAATTGGTTGGAATAATATAAAACGTTATATTACGTTTAATCTCTTTACCATAGATTTGCCTAAAAGCGACGTTTATACATACACGTAACATCATTCATATTAATTTATTATGTAATATAATATAACCAAATATTCATTAGAGAAAAGTGTAGCCTATTAATCTAATACCATCAAAATATTTAAATATCTAATTTATTTATTTGATTATAATTAATATACTCGAATCTATTTAAACAAAATCCTTTAGAAACTTGGAAACCCCCTTTGTTGTAGAACTTCTTATTCATTCTATAAGTTCTAGTAACATTCATAGTAACAAAACTAGTAACATCATTCATATTAATTTATATGTAATATTTAATAATATTCATTGATTAATTTTGCAAATGTTAAACATATGATCAAAAAATCTTCAATATTTAAAAATTTCACACATTTATTTATTTGATTATAATTTTTATACTCGAATCTATTTAAACAAAATCACAAATTACCTAGAAACTTGGTATTCCCCTTTTGTTGTGGAACTCCTGATACATCTTATAAGTTCTAGTTACATTCATAGTAACTAAACTAGTAACAATAAGTATTTATCGTCAATCCAATACTCGAAATAAAAGAAAAAAAACAAAAACAAAAAGAAAGAAAGAAAAGAAAGAAAAGAAATCCATTGAAATGGTAAAAAAAAAAGAGAAAGAGAAAGAGAAAGAGAAAGAGAAAGAGAAAGAGAAAAAGAGAAAGAGACATTTTCTGTCAGAAGAGGTTTAAAAACGAACGTACGAAGGTGATTGTTCGCAGATAAAAATTAAAGATGCGCTCTTATCTTAGAAGGAAAGCTTCGTGACCCCCTTTTTTCCATTCTCTCTCTCTCTTTCTCTCTCTCTCTCTCTCACACTCTCTCTCACACTCTCTTGCATATCGTCGTCACGAAATGTGACTGTGAGTGTTGCCTGGTTTACGGGGAGACGGGGAGGGGTTGGAAAGGGGTGGTTTGGAAGAAGAGGAGGAGGAGGTGGTGGAGGAGGAAGAGGAGGAGGAGGTGGTGGAGGAGGAGGAGGAGGAGGGTCGAGAAGGAAACGAAAAAAGCGACTAGCTGCTGAATGGATGTACTCTCGAGAATCATAGGATCTTTTTTTTTTATTTTTTTGGTCTCTTATCCCTTTCTCTCTCTCTCTCTCTCTCTCTCTCACTCTCTCTCTCTCTTTTTCTTTTTCTCTAAGGCCTCAGGGCTAAAATCTTACGCGTTACTAATTGCTAGCATTGTCTGTATCAGGGAAAGAAAAAGATAGTGAAACGTGAACCGGAACAAAACCCTAACTTCTCAGACCCAAAAATTCCTCCCCACTCCTACCCCCACCCACACTCCCCCCCCGGCCTCGCCACTTCTTTCGTGTAACTTTTTGTATCTACGATGAATTCATCCCTTTCTTTCATTTATTTTTACTTTCAAATCTGACGATTTCAACTTAGTAAATAATATCTAGTATATAAAATAGTTGTCATAGATAATAACTATGATTAAATAATTATAGTTCTTTATATAATAATAGGTCTTATGAAAATTCTTAATATATTAAGTCTAACTGAAAAAATACTGTTCATTTGTAGAATAAAATTAAAAAAAAAAAAAAGAATAATAAATTTTCATATTTGATCGTTAAAAAACTGATTCAATATTTATTGAATAAAATAATTTGTATTATTATTTATAACTTTTTAGCACAGCGTAATGACAGTTTGTAAATTGCATGTTTGAAAAATATCTTATCCCTAGAGATGACAAAATTGAGAACCGATGTTTGGTCACAACGGACAGAACTTTTTCATAGATCTAATGATATAAGTTTTAATAGAAAAAATGATTTATATAAATTCTTAAAGAGAGATGACTGTAATATTTGATTAAAAAAAGATTATTTTCAATGAAATTTATTTTTTTATTACGAACACGAACAAATGTCGACAAAGTTATAATTTAATAATTAAATTAATGAAAATATCGTTTTTTTTTTTTTTAATTAATATTTATAAAGGAAAAGTTAATTAATATTATTTTATTTACTTAGGATCTGTGACTTTACTCAACGGATTAATTTGATTTATGTTAATAGATTTAAATGAATTTTCTTTGACAAAATATTCTCACTCTCTCTCTCTCTCTCTCTCTTCTTTCTCTTTCTGACTGGCCGTCTTTGTCTGTCTCTTTCAGTAGCCAAGAATGTCAATAACATCTTCTTTGCGTTAAGCCGCCTATGAATTATATATTCTGCTTGAGGGTAGAATGCCAATACCACGATAAGGGCTGCTGTCTAAGGGTTCTCAAGCCCTCTTTACTTCGCCATCTCTATGTACTTATTCTACTATACTCATATATATTGTATATATTATATATATATATAGGTGCGTGTTACATGGCTCTTAAATATATAGGTATATATATATAACATCTACATGAAGAACATGCTATTAAAACGTGTAGTTGCTGGTTAATTTGTTAGATTAAATTTAAAATAATATAAAGTTTCATTAGATTACTTGTACGAATTAGAAATACTTTGAAAATATGTAATATTACTTATTCTACTATACTTTTATATATTGTATATATATAGATTTATGTTAAATATATATAGTATCTACATGAAGAACATGCCATTAATATGT